AGCCCTCTTTTCTAGATGTGTTGTATGACATCATGAAAGCTGTTCTTAAAAGAAACCAAATGTGAATATATTGTGCAGAGTTTGAGAATAACCAGCATTAGTGTTTTGTTTGATAAAGAATTTAAAAAAATGTATTGGAAACCTAATCCAATGTCTATGAAATCCATTCCTCATCAAAACAAGAGGAAATCCTTTTGTTTGCTGGATTATTAAAGTCTGATTTGTGCTTTTTTTTTAAGTCAGTGGGATTTCTTTGGTAATATAAGTATTGAATTGTGAGTATTTTTAGTTTCTTTTTTTTTGCATAACTTGAATAGCAATGTAGCACTGTCCTTATGAGCGCCCCTTTATATATTTTAATAGTAAGATGGACAAGTTAGGCCCACACTGTGAACTGGAAGAAATGTGCAAAGGTTTCAAAGGTTTTATGACACTGATACAAAAACAGACAGTACCATCAAAAGGCCAGATGAGTTGTTGCCTGTAAAGAAGTGAGTATTACAAATCAGTGTGTTTTATCTATTCTGCAAAAATGTTTCTCCTGAGGAGAAAAGTGTGTCCTTGATGAACACCAGCTTCCCAGTATGTCTTCCATATAAATGCTGTGGGAGAAGAGTAGATGGTATCATTAGTATAAGAGTGAGGTAAACAGCTTCATAGAACAGGGAACATGAAGGTTTCCCTCAGATTTGATTTCTTCTGTCAGTGCTTGATTACAGATTAAAAGTAATGAGTTTGAGTCTTGATTGCAGATTAAAAGTAATGAACTGGTGCCTTTCTAAACCCGAGATAAAACTGATTTGCATGATGCAAAGCTGAAGTAAGTATTTAGGCCTGATAACTATACTGTTTTTTGACAAAGTAAAATTGTAATTTTATTCTCTTAAGGTCAAATATTTCTCTAACTCCTACATCTGTAAGGTAGCTGTGATGGTCCAAAAATATGAGGAAGGCAGACTTTGTAATGAAAGGTAAAGTCTTTGGTTAAGTCCAACTTACCTCATATAAAATTTCTGGATATTCAGAGGTCTTTATAAGATCTAAGTTTGGAAGGAAGGTTATTCCAATTATTCTAACCTTTTAGAAAGGAAATAGGTACTAAATTGTAGTTAAGCCTTTGTCATATTTTGGAAGATGCCAAATTCAAATAGGCTGCATTTTAATTTTCTAAAAGAGAAATAAGTAAGGCTCATACATGGAATGTATTGCTTTACATAGTAGAAATGTGTCTGAATCGCTTAATGCTGTAACCAAAGCTGTAGTGTCTTTAAGAGAGGAACTTTGGTTTTGACGAATCAAAAGCAATGAAAGGAATGGGAGCTCTTTTTAAACAAACAGATTTTCTTTGTTTTTATTTGCTCCTTTGCATGTTTGGTTAGAGTTATAAATCCTGTGAACCATCAAAAATTAGATCAGTTTTTCATTTTGTAATACATTATTAAGATGTTGAAAATTTAGCTTGGTGGATTACTACAATTGCTTAAAACAGGCTCGATCCATAGAGCAGTGATTTGATTTTTCTTCTCGAGAAAAACTCTTTAAAAGTTATAGGCACTTCTTCTGCTCTTCATACAATCCTGTTGTTACTCAAGTATCTACTTAGTTCAAGAATTGAATCTGCCTTACTGGCAGTAAATTATTCAGTATATTGCATGCCAACAGCATTCAGCAAGTGTGAATAGTTCCCAAACTTTCTTAAATTGAGCATAGCAGTGTGAATGGTTGCAGTTTATGGCAAAGGTTTCTGGACTTTGGGACACATGCCATTAGTCAGCAGAAAGTTATTTATGACTTTGCACAGAACTATGAGTTGTTGAGGTAACAGTGACAGCTGTCAAGGATATCTGAAAACACTCTGTCGAAGAAACAAGATTTATATATCAGTGTTTTATTATAGAATTCAACCAAATCATAAATGCATGTGTAGAAAAAGACAGGCTTCTTTTAGAAATTGTTTTCAGATTTTTATTTTGCAAGCAGTGGTAATTCAACTAGATGTGGAACATGAGCTGCTTTAGGAAGAAAAGTCACTTTCAATCTTAGTTCTTTTAAAATAGAAAGTGGATAATAAATTTCTGTAGAGTATGTCTAGATTTTAAGAATTCCAGCATATGTTTGTATACAGCCTCATCTGCTGTCAGGCTCTGTTCATACTTCATGTGATACAGTGTAGAGCAGGGATTTATATAGCTTTTCAAAAACAAAACACAAAACCCAACCAAACAGGAAAAGCAACAGAAGTGGACAAGGATATAGAGAAGGCAGAGATGGGGCAGATCAGAAGAAACCAAACTGTGGTGGGACAAGTTGAAATAACGAAAAATACCTGACTTTGTTGGAAGGCATCTGTCTCTAGAGATCAGATTGCTACTTAAGGATGCAATTTCAAGATTTGTCACCAAACATACATGAAACCTGATGCTAATTGTGTGTCTAGATTTAGGCTGAGTAAAGTTGTAGACAGTGGCAGCCTACTCCTTGTGTTCATTTGCTCATCAAAAATGTCAGAAATCACAGAATGGGTAAGGTTGGAAGTGAAGTTTCTGATCTGAAAACATATTTTAAGTTTCTTCTATCTTTTTAGAAAAGTAGTTGTGGAAAAAGACTGCAGAAACATGCAGAAAGCTGGTTTTATACATCTTGGAATGATGATGTCCTGATAAACTTTTAATGAGTCATGTTTTATGTGTTGATGTGACTTTGCCTTCTTTTTATCCAGGGTGGACTCTGCACTTTGAATGTGGCTTTTCAGTATTTCAATGTCCTCCCCTCCCCAGCTCAGTTAGTGGCCTGAATGTTGTATTAATACACTGATTTCTCTGAAATTTATTTAGTATACACCTAGTACAAAAGCACCATGTGAATTTTCAAAGTACTTAGTGAGATAAGGGTGTTTGATACAGTTGAATACAGGGAAGAATAGTGGACTGGTTTTCACATCAATTTATTTCAAACATCCAAGACTCGTAACATGATGTTCACAACTGGTTCAAAGTACACTCTGAAGAGACTTCAATTTAAGAAATTATTGTTGTTAGTTTTGGAAAAGTAGCATGTTGGTCCCAAGGTGAAAATGCAAACAAAACTGAGTCAGCAATAATTTTGAATTTTTGTTTTTTAATTACTTTAAGCTGTCTAAACAGGAATTGAGACACAATTCTATTCTTACCTTCATTGTGTGATCATCCCTGATCCATGATGATCCCATAATGTTTCTGTGTGTGCAGCTGATTTTTTCTTTATATGCTTTTCTGTCTTCCATAGCAGGTAAAGTAAAAGTCCAGTATGTTCTTTCTACTATGGAGCTCTAATGAGTTTTACTCAATTTTAAGCAAAGGTCTCTCTTCACTGTATAATGAGATGGGGAAAATAGCACAAAATGAGTATTTAAAATCTGTACATCATAGCAGTGTAATTTAGGTTACATTTAGAACTTTTGTTCTAGAATTCTGTAACTTCTGAAAGACTGACATAACTTTACTAAGTTTAATTCTGATTTGGCTGATGTAGTGCTTTTCAGTCTGCACGATATTTTTTTTTCAATTAAGTCCATCTTTAGAATCTCCTTGCAAAGTAAGGGGCCAGACAGGGAAACTAATGGAGAAGGTTAGTGTTCTGCCCAGTGATCCATAATCTTTGATTATTCCACTCTACCTGTTGCAAGTAGAAGCCATTATTGTTAAACTTGAATGCTTTAGTTAGATATAATTTCAATTTAAATAATCTTGCAATTAGTTGCTGATTTCCACCTTTGTGCTTAATTATTGTATCACTTCTCCAGTGGTTGAAGTGATAGAAGGAGCTGAAAAGCCATCTTTATTCCATGTGCATGACATGAACGGAGAAATGTTTTATGCAGCATGTCTATAATTAAGGAGTTATTACATGTTCCTTAGTTGTGTCAGTGTTGCATTTGAAGTTACTGGAGTTGAATGCATTTCCTTATATGTGGTTTGAAAACCAAACCAAGACCAGACAGTTTATAATTCTTAAAGGAGCAGTTAGGTTTACCTGAAGGGACCACATGGCCTCTTGGTGACTAAATTTTTTTTTATGGAGTCTTGTTTTAATTTTTTTCAATGTCCTGGAGTGAGTCCCAAATTAAATTTTATTTATGCATTGGTGTTCAAGAATGAGAACAGAAAAATTTGGTCATGCACAAGATGTCATAGTCTGAAAACTTGTCAAAGAAGAAGAAATCCCAGTGAATTGTAATTCTTTTGAGCAATGATGAAAACTTCTGTCCTTGATCACTAATGATAAAATGATGCCCCTCCCAATTTATTTTTCTTGGAGCTCCTCAGATTTTTCAGGGTATTCTGATGTTTCTATACTCATCAAAACCAGCAGCAAGATATTCTCAGTGATTGGGATGTGCTGGTCATTGTATATTGACTTCTCATAATACTCATAAGTCCTGAGGGGAGCAGTTTCCATATCTATGTGGTCATACTATTTATCCAAACTTCATGAACACTGTGACAGTTTAGAAAAAATTGAGGCCCTAATGCCCACCTGGATATACCTTCTTTCTTCTTCTATTTATATTCATAAATATAATTGTTCTTTGAAGAAAAATTATTTACATCATTATCTAAGAAGGAAAATTCTTGTTCACTCACTTCATATTCGTCAAAAAGTATTGAAAATATGGTATCATTTCTAGAGATCTTAAACTATTAAAACCTGCAGTCATCTGCTCTCTATTTTCCTAAATAACTGTCAGTCCTAAAAAGTGACTTACAATTTGTCAAGGTAGATATTAGAATGTACTGAGCAACCAATAATGCAGGATCTACCTGTTAGGAAGTGAGACACATGAACAGGAAGCTCCCGTCCGCTGTTGGTAGGAAATGAGTTATTTTTCATACAGTTAACCAGTTTGTAGATTGATGCACTTTTATATGTGTGTGTATATATACATATATATTTGAAAATGCATATTCTTGTATGTATTTCTCTCTGTGTGTATAAAGCATCAGATATTTCTTCTATTTTAGAGGTGCAACAAAAACCCGGACATCAACCCCTCCTGGTGTGGCAAGAGCCATGAGCACGGGTGCTTTGACAAATAGAAGGAAAACTAGCAATTCAGACATTCACTTAAGGTAGCTTTTAACTTTGTGGATTTTGTCATTAATAGAGCCTTCATTAAGGGGGATTACCTACCACAAAAGAAGTTAGGGAATGTATTATTCTCTGCAGTTAATAGATGATCAATATTATTTGGCTTGTATAAGGTGCTCAATATATTTTGCATGTTTATCATCTGACAACACACCTTTGTCATCAGCTGTCTCAGATGTGCACAGAAGACCCTGTTGGAAATGTGAAAAACTGCTTGGAAGCTGTTGAAAAAATAACCAAATTTTATTTCAGTAGAAACTTAATTAAATCTCCATGCTAAGCACACAAATTGTCTTGCCCTTTCAAAGGGTAGGATGAAAATTGTGTTGCTGTTTTAGCCTTCCTTTTTTGACAAGCTAAGTTTTAAGTTTTCAAACACTCCATTTAATCTAAGTAGTCAATGAAATATTTGATCCTGTTCCTCAAATTCTGGTGGTTTTTTATTTTCTGGTAGGGAAGGTGGGTATCTGGAGATATGTGTGGGAGCCTGGGTAGCATTGTATATAAAATATACCACTCTATATAGGAAATGAAGGTATTAAAATGACAGTAACAATAACTATATTCATTGCAAGGATTATACTAATTTTACATTGTTATACTGAACTGACTTACAGAGAATGTTCTTCATCTGGGAATTTTCAGGTCTGATGGGAAAACTGGGTATGACAATGGAGACTGCCCATCCTCAGTGAATGGAGGAAGTGCAAAAAGCAGTGAAGGAATTTCACCTGTACAGTTGTCCAAGTTCTGCCATGAGTGTGGAACAAAGTATCCAGTGGAATGGGCAAAGTTCTGCTGTGAGTGTGGAATTCGAAGAATGGTTGTGTGAACACATTCTTTAAAGCAGAAAGAAAACAAGAAATTGGAACATCTGCTATGTACTGTGCATGGAAAACTTGAGTACTCCATCCAGTTAGACTTCATGCTGCAAAAGTCAAAACATCACTTTGTAATTTTCTGAGTGCAATCTTCTGGTTACACAGTTATTTATAAACAATGATATGTACTGTATATAAAATAGCAGCTACCTAAAACTGTGCCATTCAAGGAAATACTCTTTACTCTTTGTTGAAAATATCTAAAAGGAAGGTAAAAATGCTTTAAGTAACCTAGGTAGCAGAAGAGGTTCAATGCTATTTTTCTTTGTAAATCCTACTAGGCAAAGGATTTTTTGAATCTCTTGTGTAGGGTAATGCTTACCTATGGGGAACAAGCCATGAACAACTTGGGCTTCAAAAGTTTCTCTGTGGAGGCATTTCTTTCATCTGTGACAGAAACTTAGATGCTGTGTTCTAAGTGAAAACAACATGAGGAACTCCTTATAAATTCCTAGATAAAAGTGTAAAAAGTTTAGATCTTTAAATTCTTTAAAAGTAATATGCTAATTGGACTTTCCAGTTGCTTCCTAGGATTTTTAAAGAATCAAAGTGTAAAGACTACCTGCGAATTCTCTTTGCATCTAAGAAGAAAGGCAAGATTTTCTTTTTGTGGCTTTCCATGTTCTGTTTTTCAGTAAAAACATGTTAATATTTTTATGTATGTATAAGGAAAAATATGGTATTAATTTTATTATTATTCATTTTATTAAGTTCCTTTTGTTTCAAAATACTTGTCTTCCTCCTCCTGTGCTCCACCATGCCTAGCATATCTAAAGGTGTTGTGCTTTGTCCTGTATCCAAAGGTCCTCCTAGTTTTTTTTTTCTTTTCCCTCATTTCCTCAAGCAAAGTCAAAGTCTGTGCTTATCCTACCTAAATGTTGAACTCTTATTTTGAAAACAGCCTTCTTGATGTATCCAATACCAAAAGAAAAAAATAGTTATATAAAAAGGAATGCTGTTAGAGTAGTAGATCTTGATGTAAGTAGTGAGTCTTTTTTATTCTTATTCCTGTGAAAATAGCACAGCTTATGCATGTGAATGCATAGGGGAGTAACTGTGCTTCACTGACTTTTTTTTTTTGCAATTTTGTGTATTTCTGATCTCAAAACAGCAGTTTCTTCAAGTTAGTAATAGACTTCACATTAATCCATTGGGAAGAAAGGAGAGACTCAAAGTTGTTGGGTTTTTACTAAGTAAATTAGTAAGTTACACATTTACTAATAAAACCATTCACAAGCCAAATCACTTAACTTGTATCTTAATGTTGTAATTTATTTTGTGAAGTTTTGCTTTGAAGTACTTGCACCATCTTCATTAGGCGTGACAGAACAATCTGAAATAGCTGTGCCTTTCCCACAGTAAATACATTTTTTGTCAAAAAACTGGTACTTTCAGCTCACAAACACCATTAGTTTCAATTCATTTAATTTCTTTACAACTTAAATATAATGTAGTGTTCCATGGTAGTATTATGGTTGTTGCTTACCTTCTCAAAAATTGTGATTATCAATGGGGCCAATATGGACGAAAGCATGATGGAAGAAGAACATCTTCAAAGCAGATACCAGTCTAAGAGTGAGTGATTTAAGAGACTTGATGTAGTTATGTTGCAGGCCACAAGCTATTCATGTTTCAAAATTAGTTCAGTGAATGTCTTGCACTTTTTATACAATTTTTTAAAATAAATTATCCTTCATTCTGTGTACTCTTTTCACAATTGGTGTAAACTGGCTACTGAGCATGATAGGATGGATGACTGGTAATGATACTTAGAGCTGACAAATCCTAGCCAGTTTATTTTCTAGGAGTTTAGATTCTAGGATCCATATTTGGCACATTCATGTCTGCATTTGGAAAAACTGGAATTCTGCATTCCTTCCATAGATAAGTCTGCTTTGGAAAACTTGCCCTGGACTTGGGCCATTGAGGTCTGCAGACCGACTCTCTGAGCTGAGTCCAACAGCAAAGATACCAGTCCAGAATAGGTTTGATTAGATAGTGAATCTACTTTTGCCTGATGAATTTGCAGTTGTTTCTGCTGGAAAATGCATTTTTCCATTTATTAAAAATGCTTTCTACAAAGGGAATGTTTGGTACAGCACTAAATACCTTTCAGATTTTCCAGGATTATTGTAACTGTAGGGAAAAACATATTGACTCTTTCTCTTTTGAATTGTAGGTGACAGGTCTTCTAATTTCAAATCAATACTCATACAGTTACTGTATTTTCTGCTTTGTGAGCTGTTTGTGAGACTCTTTGCTTTCAATGCAGCATTTAGTAAATTACTTGAGTAGCTCATCATTTGTTTCATTTACACTTACGTGATTTATCATGAGGATTATATAGGGAATTAATCTGAACAGAAAAAAGTTTTTTAAGACTGATCTTTTTATCTGGCCCTACAAAGAAAGTCTATGAAACATAATTGACTATTGATAGTAACACTGGATAATGTGTGTGTGTTGTAATCCATAGTAAATACAAGCAGACAATGAAATTCCTTTTGACTGTGTAGTTTGGTGCTGTATGGTAAGACTTACAAGGCCCAATATGTTTTGTGTTTATCAACTGGTTTTTTTACTGAATGACATAGGTTTCTGAAGTCTGTGATGTTACAGACCCTAGCCTGTATTTCTCAAGGTATCAACACAGATCACTGTAATTCCATCTCAGTGGATGTTTGTACAAAACAGTGGATTGGTTTTCATAACATCCCCAAAGAACTGAATGTGGGAAACAAATTTGTTATATTTAAAGAAAAAAAAAAAAATTCAGTTGGTCTGAATTTTCAGTCTTTAGTATATTACATGTGTCAGGAAGTTCCCAAATTTAATTTATTGGTGATCTACATAGAAACCCTCTTGCCCTAGTCTTCTCCACACCCTTATGCCTTGGTTTTCATGGGATGAAAAAACATGAACTATGCACTGTCTCTTTATAGTGAAATTTAGTGATGCAATCGTTGTGATGATTCCCATACCAATGTATAACCCTATAACAGATTGACTGTCTGCCATTTTATCTTCCTAATGTTCTCACTAATGTTCTTCCATTCTTTAAAGAAGGTGGGGGGGTAAAAGGTCAATGATAAAACAAGAAGAGGCTGGTTTTGGTGTTTGGCCTGAGGGAGTTTGCATTCCCATTCTACTTTTGTGATTTTCTCTTTTACAAAGGACCTCTCTGTGCCAGGAAGTAGTGCAAGATCATTGGAACTATGCTGATAAAAGTGCAATGGAGTTATGAAAAATGCTAGCTTCAATAGTAAAAACAGCATAGCATAAAGCTTAATTGCTATATGATGTACCTTACACAGGCTTATATTTATGCATGATGCCCACACCCTAGGTAGTTTCAGAACTGGAATCTCCAAATATACAGCAATTAAAATATGTATTTCTATGAATAATTATTCTTACCACTGCAGGGAGGTGGGCACAGGGAAGTGCTTCACCCCCATTTCAGGTTGTAACTATGAAATGGACATATAGGCAGAATTTTTCAAATTTGCCAAAGGGACTGGAGGGAGGGGGAAAGCTCCACCTGAGCATTCCCTGGCTGGGAGGGGGTCAGGCAGGGGCAGCTCTCCTCGGTGCTCCGGCTCTGAGCCTCTCCCGCGTGCAGCCACACGTCCCGTGCCTTCACAGGAGGGGAAGGCACAGGGTGTATTGTAACACCTGACCCAGGCTTTATGCATCATGGAAGTGCTCTGTCATCTGCAAGGGCCTGACTCCTAATTCACCATCACAGCTGAGAGCTGGTGCCTGAAATGCAGGGAGAGCGTTTGCATGATGCCTGATTGCCGAGTCAGTGGGAGGAGGTATGACTGCAGTACTTTAAATAAACAAGATATGTGCACACTGATGTAGACTGTGTAAACATATAAAACTGAATGGTATTGTCTATGTATTACAAAGGTCACAAGAAGTGCTAGTTTCCATCACATAGACTTTGTATATCTTCAAGGAACAAACCTGTTATGAGTGTTTTTAATCTTGGCTGAAGAAATTGTGTTTAGTAAGAGCACTTTTTTCAGTTGTATTTCTATCCAGCTTGACTAAGCTATGAATAGTTAAATGGGTTGTATGAGAAGGTGGAATTTTCATCTTTGGTAAAATTTGTTTCAGTGACTGGTGAAAATAGTTTAATTGCCTTTCAAGTACAGCTTATTCCAACTTGTGATTGTTTTGTTGCCGGTTGGTTTGGTTGTTTTTTTTCCATCTGCTAAGTAAGGTTTGAGTGTTGTTGTTGGAAGAAGTGTTAGGTAAAAGACTTCATTAGCTGAATTCAGTAGTTACTTGGTTGATATTTTCATTCCAGTATTCACAGTATAAGAGATTACTCTTGCATACTAGTTCATTTTTTGGTTTGTTTTGGGTTTGTTTTTTTGGTGTTACATCAGTCCAGAATAATATACGTTTCTGGAGAATCCTATTTAGTCCCATTCTACTTCATCTTGCCAGAAAACAGCTTCTTCATATTTTCTCTTAATAAGTATTCATTCTTTACAAAAATTATATTTTCCCAATTTGAACATTTGAGTCAGCAAATCAAATACTCAGTTTAATATGGCTGAATACTGAACCCACATTCTAAACAGAAGTGCATGGTTTACCATAGTTCTATATTTCAGTTTGGCTTTCTGGCAGAACCATGAATGGATTTGGGTGGGATCTGTAAAGTGCTGAGTACAGTACAACTGTTACAAAACCTACTTTATATGATTGCTCTAACTCTTGATGTTCATCCTTCATATGACACTTAATAGGTTTCTCTTCATAAGTTTATTTATTAATGTTCTCTGTTTTTAAATGGCGTGTTCATTCATGTGTTGGACGTGATTAATTTTTTGAGCATTGCATTTATTATGTTTGCCTTGCCCCTCAGTACATGGAATATTTGTTTGTGACCATCCAGTGAGGTGTTTTTTTTGCCAGAATTCCTTGGTTTGTTTGCCTCTTATTTTGTATATTATGTTTATTTTAAATTGTCAGTTCTGTTTTAATTAATAAATGTAAATCACCACCTAATGCTAATTTGGCACTTGTTAACAATAAAGCAAATATGCCAATAAAGCTTTTTGTGATGTGCAATTTTTTGTAGTCAAATGTAAAATTATCTTATATAATATAGCATACAGGTAGGTAATATAATTTCAGTCTTATTAATATTGTGATGTCTGATCTCAGGTACACAAAGAATAGGGTTTTTTAATTGAGTGAGATGAGATTTGGATTCCTAAGTCACCTTGAAAAACATACCAGATATTTAAATCAGTGTGATCTGCTTATTTAAAGTTAACCCTCTATCTCCTCTATTTCCCCAATTATACTGAGAATTTAGTTTCTGTAGAGCCTATCACTGTGACATCTTTAGTATTTCTTTTTTTTCTTCTTCTTCTTAATGATAAAACTGTAAGGCATAGTTAGCTTGATCTGGGTTTGTTCTCCTTCATGACATTAGAGCACTGTTGTATTGATGAAATTATTAAGAAAAAAAGGAAGTTGTTTATATTTTTCTTCAGAAGTTCATTTATGTGAGCAGAAATTACAATAAGGGTTTGGATTGCTATTTTTTTTTTCCTAAATATGGATGAATAGAGATCAATGCCTCTTATCATTAATTTTTTTTTAGGGGAAACTTCCTTCTACTGAGCTCTTTAATATACTTGGAGAGATATAGATTTGAAGGGTGGACTATTCAGTGGAAAAGGAATTGACTGAATGGATACAGCTGGAAAGTGGTGGTCAGTGTGTCTATGTGTCTATGTCCAGGTGGAGGCTGGTATCGAGTGCTGTCCCTCAGGACTCTTGTTTTAAAACTCTTGTTTTGGTGCTCTTTTAGTATCTTCATCAATGACACAGTGAGACTGAGTGCACCCTGAGCAAGCTGAAGGACAGGATGCCATCCAAAGGGACTGAACTGCCATGACTTCTCAAATATCCTCAGATATTCCCTCAGAACCCACAGATGTATTACATCGGCTCTCATGGACTTGTGCACTTCAGGTTCTTTAGATGGTCTCAAACCTGAACCTCTTGCAACAACATTGTGAAAATCCTTTCAATTTAAATACCTACGTTTTTATCCTTGACACTTTCCCATAAATTCCATGTATTCCTAAATCATGGTTTTGACCTACTCATTTCTTTTCTGTGGCCAAATAAGTAAATAAATGCATAAGTGAAGGTGGCAGGCAGGTAGGCATGATGGTGACAATAACATGCACAGTTTTCATTCCTTTGCCAGTTCCTGAAAAGCACTTTAGTGCCACATTTGAAAGTTCAGGAAACCTGAGGAAGTTTTCAAATTGAAGGAACAAATCAAAGAGCACAAGTCAATGCATTTAGCAGTTAGTGTTTACATGTAATTGGTGACAACAGGAAATTTGGCAACAAGAATCAGACAGGCAGGATATTTATTAAGAGAAGTAATCAGAAGAAATCCACAGTTTCATAATCACTTCATTTAAATTTCTGCTCTGGATCTACCCTTGGTCTTTGGCCCAGGGTAGTCCTGGAATTGCTTTATTTCTCTCAAGACTTAAGTTGTGGACTGCTGCTTAAGTAACTTACACTGACTGACCTTTCAGTTTTGTAGTAGCTAATACTGCATCTGTGTATTTTTGTTTTAACTCACACAGCCCTTTGCTTGCCAAGTGGTTATTAGGAAATAAGTGCTGGCTTTCAGCTGTTCTTGAATTTCCAAAAAATATCAAAACAACCGTACTTCAGTCTCAGAGACCAACTGAATCCACAGTCTCCTGGGTCCTCTTTCAGAAGAAAGGACTTCCAGAGAAGTCCTTACACTTGTGCTTACATTCTCTTTATCTGCAGTGTGATACTGGGAAATGGTTCCTTTCCCTGCTCCATAAAAGATTTATGGGTTGGGGTTGGTTTCGGTTTTTTAAGGTGTTTGGAGTGAAAGTTGCCATCTCTTATACAAAGAGCTAAAGAGAATATGTGAAAGTCTCAGTCACAGTTTACAAAGTTACCACCCCTGCCTCATCATCAGCATCAATACATGGGGGGTTGGAGAGGGTGTATTTCAGGAAAGCATGGTATGCTTTGCTCTTAACCTCTTCCCTCTCAGATTCAGGAGAGCAATCTTATTCCAGTCAAACACATAAAACTAGTGCTCTTTACAATCAACTGAGCTAACAGTTCTTTGAAGTACATCCTACTGGTTTTTCGGGTGTTTGTTCTGAATACCAACATTTTTACAGAGTAGTTTTACAGAAAAATTCTGTATAGCACAGATAAAACAATTTATGTTAGTTTACTTCAAACCAGGAAACAACAGGCTGACTTTACTAAAGCTTTCCTGAAGTATTCAGTCCAAGGCAGATGGCTGGTATGAAAATGTTTACCTCAATTGGGCAGGTTACAGGCAGCTAAGAAATGGGTATTTTAAGACAGGAATTCCCCAACTGAGCTTTGAATGATTATCTCTGAATAAAACCTAAAAAAAGAGTAATGGTAGTCAAAAAGTGAACAGCCCAATTTCATAGAAGACAAATATTTTATTACCAAAGGAGTTATATCAAAGTAAGAAACTGCAAAAGTGTAATAACTATAAAAATACTTCTATTTATTCAAAATAAAATATGAGCACTTTATTAGTTAAATGCCAATATATTATTCTCTGACAATATTCACATATTTTAAGTCATGTTTGCCTAACATCTTAAAACATGTTACATAAAATAATTGCATATGAGAAATCACAATCTGAAGCTAAGGAATTCTAGCTCCTCCTGCAGCTAACTCTGGGTTGATCAAATGAATGAGTGTAGTGCTGTTTCCAGTCAACTGAACAACTTACATTCAGGCATCTTCTTCTTCTTCCACAGGATTCAGTCTTGCCTGTGCTTCAGCCAGCAGAAGCATGCTGCATCTCTCAAAAATCAGTACCCTTCTTGAGTTTTTTCAAAAAGCTAACTTTTTCCCTGTTTTTCCAAACCCAAATCAGTTAGCAGACCCATCAGACCCACACCAAAACCACTTCTGTGTCAGGAGAACATATCCACGATAATCTGCTGCTTTGGTAAATTGTTACTTTTGGTCCTTGGTGTGTTTTGCATAAATATAAAGCAACCAGCTACTTTTTCATACTTTTCATACTCTTTTTCTTCACCTGCAGATTCCAAGATGTTTTTGTAAAATCCAGTACACATGTAAGTGGCTGCTTTCATATGACAGTATTATAAGGTTACTTGAAGAATCGGAAAATACAGAGTAGTTTCCAGAGCACAAAAGTTGGACACAGACTTCTGCAGAGTTCTTTGTTTCAAATGCTGGTCTTCTATTTCCACTTCTCGGACTTCAGCAGCTTGGTTCAGCCATTTCTGTTTCTGTCATCTCCAGGAACAAGGTACAGTAGTAGCCTTCCATCAGAATTCTGGCATAAAGTGTTCATATAAGCGAGCAAGTTTACTTGAAGAATGCATATAAAATGCAAAGATACCAAGTAATGCCACTTCGAAAGAAAAGAGCAGGATTCACCTGGAATCACCTGGAAATTATTTTTTCAAATTTATTCCAGCAGGATCGAAGACTAGATATATTTTCTTTCAGTTCACAAACTTCTTGGTTACATTTCTTTTTGGACTGTTCACCTGTCTCTGTATCTTCTAAACTAAATACATGTGAGCAAACCTGAAACAGAACAGATTGTATGAGAACTGCTTATTCTATTTCTGTAGCCATCTTTCAAAGCAAACCAATTGCTTTACATCTGAATACTGGAGAGACCCTGCCCATGGGACTGTGAGAATGTGGCTTTAACTCAGAGCAAATAAGAACACCTGAAACAAGCCTGTCCAACCGAGAACATGTACATCCTCCATCACAGATTAAAATTTATCCTCCATTTTCTGAAGGACTGAGAAAATAAAGCCAAATAATTTGTGAGCCAAACTTTGACTATATGTGTCAAGACCAGTGGAACAAGACAGACCAGTTCCAGGGGCTGATGCTGTGCCCTAATGTTCAAGATCTCAGCCAGACAAAACTACTGTAGTCCTTGTTCATATTCAATGACTGCTCATTTTTTTCTTTCTAAATTACTTTAATTAAAATTAAATCTTTAAATAAAAGCAGGAATCCATAAGGTTAGGCAGGAGTTGCAAGGGTGACACTGACTTCTATGACTTGACTGGGATGTAAGGCAAATGTTGGATTCACCAGAGGTGACAAAGGAAAATATAAACACCAACATTACTTTGAAGATCTCCTCCCAGACTGTAAGTCTCTCCACTTCAAGGAGAAAAATAAAAAGCTAAATGAAGCCTTCAATCCATCTGTTTAAACATTATATTTTTGGTGCCTATGAGGATACTTTGATGCTGGTTAATATTTTTGTGTTCAATAGGTAACACTGAGCCACACTTAAAAGAACACTCTTCCTTTGTTACAGTAGTCGGTAGATCACTGTGCTACATTTAAGCAGCACCTCAAAAAGAAGATTCTGCCAAAGACTAAAAACCCAAATAGTATCATACCCAATTGTTCTTGTTGAATTTGAGAGATTGTGGTTAAAATAAAGACCAAAGAGATTACAGAAAAGAGAGAATCTCACCCTAATTGTTTGTTGAGAGAAACCAAATTAAACATTACTCTTAGAGTTAGCGAGAAGTTACAACTCTGACAATACTCCAGAGAAGTTTAAATGCCGCCTTTGCACAAGTCTAGTCCTTGTCTCTCACTGGAGAATTAGCTAAGTGAAATTCAGTTCACTACTGAACCAGAGCAGGTATCTTCACCATAGACTTCCAGATGATTTTCTGAGTCTTTGCACTGAGCCTAATGTCTATTACAAGACAAATGCTATACAGAGGAAACTTCCTTTAGCATGGAACATGTGCAAGATGGTTGCATCTTTTAGAGGCAGATGTGATAGTCTGTGTTGAAGAGCTCTAGAAAATAAGAGTTAAACTATTACTCACTAAAGTTGAGTACAACTCACCTTTTCTTTTTTAGGTCTTTCACATTTACACTGTAGAACTTGTAATGTCCCACATGAGACGAATGCTGCTTTCTGTCTAAAGGCTTTGTTGATCCTCTGCTTATTAAAGAATCTGAGCATGTTGCATGCCATGCTCTGTAGTGATTCTATTTCCTGTCAAGACAGCAAGGAAAATATGTCCTGAAAAGTTTGTGCACCATTAATTATTTGCAATGTTGGTTTATCTTTAAAAACCCCAAACTCTCCATCAATTACTATTGGTTTCTCTTGTTTTCATAGTGCAAATCTTTCTCAATAAAATACATAACTAATCTGACTTACCTGCCATCTTTTTGAGACATTTAAAGCAGCAATTTTTAGTAGTAATAATAGTAGCATAAGGATGTTAGGGAGAAATCACAGCTGTAATCAAATCAATTGATGCAGTTAGGAAAACAAATGATTTATGCAGCCAGTCCTTTTACCAAGTCATGAAAAAATCTGTAGCAACAGCTGCCAATTGTGCTTTCTGGCATTTGAAATCTGCCAAAACTACTATTTTAAAGCTTTCAGGTCTGAAGTGAAAAGTTTAGCTAATATAACTTTCTGTAAAAAAATTTTAAAAAGAGATTGGGAAATTGTAATATTTACTTCCATTGCTAAAAAGAAAAGTATCTGTTTTGTTTAAAAAATATAGAAGAATCTTCATAGTAAGGAATAAAACCCCACATTTCTTGGATATGGAATGGCTTAATATTTAAATGTTTAAAATATCAATTTACTCAACACATATAATTCCAGATTCAAAAAACAAACCATCCTGAATACTGTGATTTGACTTTTAAAACTAAATACTATCCTATCACCCTATTTTATCCTGGACTGTACAAAGAACTCACTTGGGTTTGTATTCTCTACATTCTGAAAAATTAAATTTTACCTCAGTATCATTGCAGAAAAACACTTTGATATTTTCATATTTTTTATTCTTGCAGCACCTGTCACGATTCTCTGCAGACATTTTTACCTGTAAAATATCATATATGTTTAGACATGAAAGTACCGTGTCAGTGCTCAGTCACCCTGACAGCAAAAAGCTCTTTCCTGGTGTTCAGAAGGAACCTCCTGTGTGCTGGTATGTGCCCACTGCCCCTGGTCCCATCACTGGGCACTGTGGATAAGAGCCTGGCTCTGCACTCTTTGCCCACTCACTTGAGGTATTTCCACACATGGATGAAATCCCTCTGAGCCTTCTCTTCTCCAGGCTGAACAGCCCCAGCTCTCTCAGCTTTCCTCATCAGAGGGATGCTCCAGTCCCTTCAGCATCTTAGGGGCCCTTCACTGGACTCTCTCCAGTAGCTCCATATTTCTCTCATACTGGGGAGCCCAGAAATGGACACAAATCTGTTCAATTTAAATCTTTATATTCTATCAAATTGCTTTGTTCTTTGGAAATTTTGAGACATGGAGCAATGTTTAAATCTTACAATTGAATTGTAGCATTGAATACAGTGTTTGTCAATGTTTGTCTCAATAAATACATGTCTTAGCTCTAAACAGATGGTAGCACTCACTTTGTATGTGTAATAACAGAAGATGGCCTAAGCAACATCACATGGTCTTTTGCCTGATTATAATATTTTATCAATACTTTATCCTCTCTTGTAGTTTTTTCTTCCACTTTCACACTTGTCATCAAGATGACAATGGAAGTCAACAGAAACTTTGTCTTCAGCCTGTATCCAGACATTCCAGTTAAGCCAAAGGGCTTTAAAAAGGCAGCTCACGACAGTATTGTTTTAGATCTCTTCACTTAGCCATGCATATGAGCACATCAGACAGTTAATTCCTAAAGTTTTTCTGCAGAAATTGCCTGAATTTCAGAAGCTCACCCAAGATAAACAGAACTTTATCCAAAAAGTGTTTTTAAAACCAAGAGTTTAGGGAGTCAAATATTCACTGACAAAGGAAAAACCACAAAACAGCAAAACCAAATTAAAAAGCCCAAACCACAAACATCAGGAAGCTAATGCACATCTTTTCTTGCACCACAACAGATATTGCTCCAGTCACAGCACCAAAATTTATAATTATATAATCATCCTAAAAGCTATATATCTGTCACTTCATTTGCTAACTGCTATGAGATTTTCCATCCTCTCTGGCTTCCTCAGATCACCTTTAGTGTAATGTACAGTAACCACATCTGAAGGTAATTCATTGGCCGTGTCTAAACCAACCTAAGGGAAATCCTGACCTCAGAAAAGGCATTAGTGAAAATTTAATTACCTTACAGAGATCTATTATATGACTCACTATCCTGCTCTGCAGCAAACCCATAGCTGCTCCAAACATCTGGCTGAGGAACTGAAAGCCACTGACTTTGGCTCTGCAGTTGCAGGAAAGTGCCTGCTGGGCAGTGCTATCACCCACACAGCACACATATTATTTGCTGTTAACTTACAGTAACAATACACTGATTATACATAGAAGACAAATTTATCTTAAACAGTTAAAAGTAAAGGCAGAAAAAATAAAGAAACTTACACAGTAGTTGCTTGTGTATGTCTTCTAGGAAGTAAAAGCTTCAGAGCTCAATACATTCCCATTAGTTTTCACAAACATTAATTCATCAAGGTTTTATTTATGTATTTATTTTGATATACAACATCAAGCTCCATCCTACAATAGGACAGTGGCAAGGCATTGCCCTGTCCAGGCCAGGAGAGTCCCTCAGCCTCCCTGACTCTGCATCTTGAGCAGGGCTGGGATGCACCTCATGGATCACCACCACCAGAAGGCAGCAGGATCTGCCTCCCAGAGGATGTTATTCCTTCGTATCATTTCCTCTTATAGGTCAGCTGTCTTCTAACTGCTCACCAAGAGAGTTTGGTTTTGTTCTCTAGGGAATACTTGTTTTTTGTCAGAAATACAACAGCAAACTAAAGGGAATACTCCTCTATTCTAATATGGCCATTAATATTCTCTCTAAATTTGATGCCTCATTCAGGATAAAGTCATTTACAGTAGAGGATATGTATTGTATTTAAATATCTATATAACTGTTAACTTAAGTAAAAGCAAAGGGGGAAATATAGTAGAGAATATGTATTGTATTTAAATATCTGTATAGAGGCTTTGCCCCAGAGATCCCAGTTGCCCTCGATGGGCTGCAGCTGTGATGTCCTTAATTGGGCTGCAGCTGTAACTGATGAAGATGACTGGGATAAAAGAGGGCGGGTAAGCCAGTCAGGGAGAGCCTTGGAGGAGCCCTGACCTGAGAGGGAACAGCATGCAGAAGAAGGAGTCTGTGAAGGTCTGTAGCTATGAGAATACATCCAAGAGGTATGGACTCTAGAAATAAATCTAATAACAACAATATGGGACTCTAGAAATAATAAAGAACAACAAGTGGTGATCCTGACATGATAGTTAGCAGAACATAAGACAGCTGAGAGCTGTGGTGGCCAAGAGCTGTGACAGAACATAGCCTTTGGGTCAGGGAGCTGTGAAAGAGTATGGCCTTTGAGCAAGGAGCTATGTGGGTTGTACATGGCCTGTGAGTCATGGAGAAATGTATGTATTGTAATAGAACATCTATACAACTGTTAACTTGTGTAAAAGAAAAGGGGGAAATATAGTAGAGGAAATGTAATGTATTTGAATTTCTGTATAGAGGTTTTGTCCCGCAGGTCCCGGTTGCCCTTGATGGGCTGCAGCTGCGATGTCCTTAATTGGGCTGCAGCTGTAACCAATGAAGATAACCGGGATAAAAGGGGGTGGGATAGCCAGTCAGGGAGAGCCTTGGAGGAGCCCTGACCCGAGAGAGAACAGTGTACAGCAGAAGGAGTCCGTGCAACGAAGATCTGCAGCCATGAGAATATGCCAAAGAGGTATGGACTTTAGAAATCTAATAACAACAGTATGGGACTCTAGAAATAATAGAAGAACAACAGTCATTTATATGCAGAGAACTACCTTTCTTTCTTCATAATCTCAACCAACATAACATGATCAAAATGTTAAAAGATGATTCCTTGACCCTAAAGGTATTTTTTTTTCCAGATGAGGGTTGATGTGCCTTGGGTTGCAGACCACTGCCATAAAGCTCTGAAGGATGGTGGTAGTTTGTAAGTGTGAGGAAATGCAATGACTCCTGATTTTTCCCTTGGAAAAAGGTTGCATATTATTTGTATTTCATGCAAATAGATCTTGATTTAAGACTGCAACAGTATGGGGAATTCTCATTTAGTGACAATCTGTCAGGAAAATCACATTTTTTTGTGGGAATGCCTCTACGAATACAACTGTTTTAAGTGTTCCCCATGGAAGTGTTCTTGACAGATTAATTTAATTGCTAATAATTCATGAGGAAGAATTGGAAGGTAAATTTTGGGCATGGACTGGTAACCTGTTAAGAAACTATTTTGCTAAGCTATAATAAATGTGGCTGATAAAGCCATAATGGAGGAGATTTACACATGAGAATGTAAAGCTCTCCTCTGCTGCTATCTAGAAAAGATAACTTGTTTTGGCTAAATAAGATATATTAATAGGTACAAAGAAACCTATTAGGATACAAACAAACTTTTACTGTCATATGAATTTTGTGCCTCTGTGCATTTGTATTCAATGGACAACATAAAACTTCAGTCAAGAACTCTAGTTAGTAGAACAAATTACAGCTGTAATGCTTTCTTCTCTTGATAAAATCATATAAAGAGAAGTAGTAATGAAATTACTTTAGAAAAAAGTACTTTCTGATCAAATATATGATCTATATAATGCACAGGCACAAAAAACTGTATCACAGTATTTATACATGCAAATAGGCACTATCCACAGATTTCAGAGATTTTAAAGAGACTGAATTGTTGCACCCCTCAAATAAAACCACCATTCCAGCATAATGTGTGACTTAAAATCGGTCTTTTATCATGTTTTAACATTAGAGATTTTATTATTAATTGTTAGCATCTAAAAATAGGCCCAAGAAGCTACTACCTACCAGCTCATTGATGTCGTGACTTAGTATATTCTCATACTTCACACGGATTTCTGTTGTTTTATTTCGCATTGCACAGGTAGATGCATTCACTGGAGACAGAACAAGGAGCAGTGGCAGAACTGGTAAGGTAGATCTAAAAAAGGCTGGATTATAAGAACAGTAAGGTACATGTTAGTTAATGTCACAGACTGTGTGCTGTATTAACAAATACATTCTGTAATCTGTTAAAATAGTTTAAAAGGGATCTTTGTACAACCAAATGACTTGTGCCTTGCTAGAGGGAAGGATTCACCTCCAAATTATGACACTCTTTGGTGTCTAAACTTCCCCGTACCACAAGATGATTCAGCCAGTGTGGATAAGGGCTGTTGTGTTGTTGAGGGTCCCCAGGATGAGGTGAGAGATGAGAATTTGACTCCAAGTTCTCAGAAGGCTGATTTATTATTTTATGATATTATAGTATATTAAAAGAAATTATATACTAAAACTATACTATACTATATATATACTATACTAAAAGAAAGAGAAAGGAGACATCAGAAGGCTTAACAAGAATGAATAATAAAAACCTGTGACTGACCAGAGTGTCCAACACAGCTGGACTGGGATTAGTCATTAATTTAAAAAAATTCACATGGAACCAATCAAAGATGCACCTGTTGGTAAGCAATCTCCAGACCACATTCCAAGCAATCAGATAATTATTGTTTACATTTCTTTTTGGAGGCTTCTCAGCTTCTCAGGCGAAAAATCCTAGCGAAGGAGTTTTTCAGAAAATATCATGGTGAAAGATAAGAGCCTACAGCTATTGAGCTGACCAGATACTTGGTGACTTCTTCGGCTGAATTCATCCTCAGGGTTCACTGCAAGCATTGTATTTTATTGGACCATAACCACATTGGACACATGTAGAGGAGTGTTTTAATCATGTATGTTTAGACATTCAAGTGTCTTAACCTGCAGCTGAATCTTGACTATCCATTTTTCCTTTGACAGCTACAAATCTCCATGAACACACCTCTATAACAAAAGTGTGTTTAAACACATTTTCAGGCAGACCAAATGTACAAATCCATGCTACTCGCCATAACATGAGATAAAGCAGCAACACAACCTTCTCCACAAGATTTCTGCAATCTTTTTGAGCAAACTTCACTGTCCATCACTTTGCTTGTCCCTCTACTGGACTGCCTTCCCTTGCTCTGACCCCTGGTCTTCTGTCTTTGCATGACATCCAGGAAAATATGAGTTCTGTGAGGATGGGCAGAGAGAAAAGACCAAAACATCAAAAGAGCCTGAAGAGACTGACAGGAGGCTGCAGGTGACTCACCTGGTGCTGGGAAAGAAGGAGACCAAGTACGTGATAATACATGATCAGGAATAATTAGACTCTGGCCTATTGCTAGTCTATTGCTATCCTAGTCTGGCTAGGATAATGCTTAAATTGAAGGTTTGGGGGGAAAAAAACAAAGGTAGAAATTTATGATGGAGGACTAGCAAAGATCACAGCAAGTTCCTGGAGGAGTATGCAGTGTTTCTGCCCATCTTCACCACTGAGTAAGAACAACAACTGCACACAGAGCAACTGTGAGACAGGAGCCAGGAAAGGAAGAGGGGATGCCCTGGCCCCAGCTGCTATTTTCCTTCCTCTCTGTCAGGGATGGGCTGTTGGGTACAGCCAATCCAGCACTCAAGAGATGGGCACCTCTGGACCTGGGCATCACAAGTAAATCATGTCCTCAGAGAGCAATTTTGAGCAACTAAGAAAACAGCAATGAAATTTGACCATAATTTTCATTGACCCACCTATCTTCTGCAATGCAAGAACCACAGGCACGCCACATGCTCACTGCCATTAAAAGAAACACAGTCCCTTATAGCCCATCCCAGCCAACTCACAGCAGACTGAATCCTCAAAGAAGAATGCATACTGACTAGTGAAGCCTTCTCTTTCTGATAGATTGCATGTGAACATGTGATTATGTACACCTCTGTCCTAGAAACGGGACTGGAAAAATTTTACCTGTACAAGCTAAACCACAGAATTCTTGAGCAAGCTGCCTGAGAAATTCTAATTGGAAATTTCACGGGTTGAAAACCAAATTTTCTGACCTTTCCATATACTGATCAACCAAGGTCTATTAATGTCTCAAGAAATTTAGCCTGATGGGCTCAGTGAATCTTAAATGGATCCTAAATGTAGTAAATTTAAAAACTCTGTAAGGTGACTCTATTATGATCTTCAAGCTCAAAGTGGACACACCTGACTTCCACAGAGCTTTATCTTTGTAAATCTCTATGCTAACTATATCTCTGTTGCATGATTTATCAGTTTGAAGGATGAAGACTTAGTATTTTAAAAGACACTTACAAAAAATATTGAAGAGCTCAATAATAGGGCAACATTTTTCCAATCTCCCATTGCACCTCTTGGTTCCAGTGCAAAAGATGAACTGCAATGCTTGTTCACCAGTAGGGTAATACAAACAATTTGGATATGTTGCTTCACAAACATACTTGAAGGGACGAAAATAGCAATCCTCTAAATTAAAACAATCTGACTCCATCACTTTAAACTTGGCTTGTCTGGCAACAAGTAGAGATAAGAGATAAGATATTGTACAGATCCCCAATCTTTTTTAAATGAGGAAATTACAGAATAAAAGTAGATCACGTGTTGCACACTCATGAGGTCCCTTGGGCCACTGCAGGATGGTAATCAAATTTTTTCAGACATTATTAAATGAGTCCTCTGGAAAAAATATTAGACAAGTGTCAAAAAATTCTATGAGATCTAGACTGAAAATTGAAAGGGATTTTCTTGAAGTTAGGTAACTTTGAACAAATGGGAGTTTATGGTGCTCCATATGGCCAGCAATTCAAAAGAAAAAGACAGCATTACTGGTAATAAACCATTTTTCCAGTAAACTCCCAGAAACTCCTAAGTCATATCTGGAAAGCCCCAAAAATTCTCCTAGCAAATCCAGGAAGAGCTAGTTTTCCAGTATTTCCACATATTTAAAAAAAAAAAAAAAAGAAACAAAACAAAAAAAACCCCAAAACCTCTTGGCTTTTTAACGTTAAAACACCCTCCTGTGCATACACCCGGGGGCACGTCCTCGGCGGCACCCAGCGGGATCCTCGCAGCAGCCCCGGTCTCACAACCCCAATCTCGGGGGCGACGCTTCCTCTGCCCCCTTCCCCTCTCCGCAGCCCGCAATTCCCGCGGGGATCGGGGCACTGCCGCTCTTTTCCCTCCGGGTCCCGCTGCACCCGGGCGGAGGGGCGGGCGGGCGAGCGCTCCCGCCCGGGGGCGAGGCACCCCCGGCGCTGCGCCGCACCTGCTCCGGGGGCACCCGCGGGGCTGCAGATGCCCACGGCAGGCAGATGCCCACGGCAGGCAGATGCCCATGAGAACGTAGGTGCCCATGGAAAGGACGGTGGGAGCCGCACGGACCGGCGTGGAGCGATGCCTACCGCAGCTCCCCCGCCCCACGCTGTCCCGCTGCCTCTGCCACTCCCGAGCCGCCCTTCCCGGCAGCTGGCGTGATGGGAACCTGACTCTTTTACTTTCATTCTGCGGGGAAAAGAGAAAAAAAAAACCGAAACCGGGAATTTCCCCAGCCGTCACCAAGGGTTTAAAAGGCACCGGGAAGCACCGCGCCGGCAGAGCGGGCGGGACGGCAGGAGGCAGCGGAGCAGGTGAGGAGCCAGCGCGGCCGGGGTGCGGAGCGGAGCGCGGCCGGCCCGGGGGCAGGTGAGGCGGGCGCCTCCTGCGGAGCGGGGCGGTGCGGGGCGCGCTCCTTACCATGGAACATGGTCCGTGCGGAGGCTGTCGGGGAGCTGCGCCGACGGGTCCGCGGTCATGGTGGCGGCGCCGCCTGGGCCATGACGGCCGCAGCCCGCGGAGCGCCGCGCAGGGGCCGGGAGGGGCCGGGCCGGGCTCAGCAGCCCCCCGGAGCCCGCCCGCCCGGGGGCACCGCGGCGCTGTCCGGAGCGGCGGCGGGACGGCCGCGCTTTGCCTTTCCCATGGGGCTCCGCCGGCCGCCGCACTTTCACTTTCTGCTCGGCCGCGGCGGGGCTGCCCGCGGGCCGGCGGCGGGCAGGGGAGGCTGCGCGGCCCCCGGGGCGGGCGGCATCCCCGGGAGCGGCTGTGGCGGGGCCGGGCTGTGCCGGCCGGGATTACATAGAGCCCCGGCTACACGCCCAGTGAGCGCCGTGTGTGCGGCCGGGGAGGGAAGGATGGATCTTGGCACTACGCGTGGAAAGAGCCGCTCATCCGCGGGGAGGATATCCTTGCAAAAAAAAAAAAAAAAAAAAAAAAAAAATCACTGCATGTTGTGGAGTCGCTTTTTCAGAGGGGAGCGGCTTAGCTTGAAAGCTGATGCGCTGCCCTTTCGCTCCCTCAGCTGCCCTTGGATGGGTTGTGGAAGGCGGGACTGCCAAGAGGGCTCTGTCTCCGGTCAAGGGTTACCCTAGGCTGTTGGCATGGGCTCAGAAGTGAAAAGTGGATGGTTTCTGCACAGTTTGTCGTCTACACCCTCCCCTACCCCCCTGCTCTCTTCCCCCGCAAAATCATTTTGTGGAATATGAAAGGATTGAGAAAGAATGGTGGATGGCTCAGGAAGGTGTTTCAGCCTGGAAGACACCCAAATTCTTTAAGGCAAACATGTAGAAAGATGTGCTTTTCTTGGTAAATTCAAAATGCAAAAAATTTTCATGTGCAGTTCAAAAGGCTTGGAATAAAACAGAGTATTAAATATCTTAGTAGAGTCCCCTTCACATCTCCTGCCCAAAAACTTTCTGAGTTTTGAGTTCTGCATCACCCTTCCTGCTCTGCGTGAGCACAGAGAGATGATTCCATAACCCCTCTTTCTTCTCACAAGAGTGCTTTTCTACGGGGAGATAGATAGTGAGGTGAGAATATTAAGGAGCAAGTATGGGGAATCCTCAGGATGGTTTCCTCCCATTCTCTTGAACTGAAATTGTGCTGCTTCCTTCCTGTGTGAGGAGGTCCTTCATCCCCTTTATTGTCTGTGAATTAGACTCTGCTTTAGATTGGCTACACATTTCTCATTTCTTTTTCTTTGGAAAAGAATTTAGTCAATTCTTCTTCAGAAGTATTCTGTCAAGATTCAAGACAGAGGAGGTTTTCCACACCTACAGCTTTGAGCTGCTTGATTCCATTAGTGATTACCCGTGACTACGATTTGGGCAGAGAACAGGGATCAGTATTGACACAAGGAGCGCCTGTACTTGCTTGTTCCTTAAATGAGTGCCAGCTTGGATGTGATGTATTGTTCAGTTCTTGAATTTGAACAAGGATTTTGCCTCTTTCTTGGCTAAATTATCTAGCACTTATTGTGTCTTAAGTTGTCACTTTTCTGCTTGTTTTCATTTGCTGTTTTGTTTTTTCTCTTCTGTCAAATATTGTCTAAAAACATCTCTGTGCATTTCAATTTGCTGGCATGTGCGAATCAGAGAATGCCACAGGACTCTTCTTCTGGGGGGAGATTAGTACCTGGTGTAATGCAATAAAATTTGTGAATATCTGTTCTATGGTCAGGTACATAGAGACTTGCATTTTCAATAGTCAAATGTTTTGAAAACACTGCACTATGAAGCTCCAGTCATACAAAACTGTGTCACCAAAATCAACTTACCTTCTAGACAAGTAGTTCTTCCAATTTCTTACAACAGTACATGTGTGTTCACAAAATGAGATTGTTTATGCAGATTGTCAGGGTGCAAAATATAAAGGAAATACTTCTTTAGCTTCTTTGTTTGTTAGTTTTCTGGCTGAAACATCAGGAAGACTGGTAATTGCTTCAATTTATTTTTTTTCTTTAAATAATGTAATTGATGGAAGAAGTCAGTATAGTAGCTTAATGCATTAATGAAAACATGACTGAAAGGTGATGCTGCCGTCTTTTACAGGAGTTTTGCTCTTTTCTTCAGTAGTGGCAGGATTTGATTTTTTTTTTTTTTTTAAGATGAAGTCTGGTAAATGTATGGGAAACTTTTTATTCAGTCAAAGTGTCAAATAGATGGTGTGATCTGTACTTTGCCCCGTGTCGTGTGTTTAGATCCAGTCAATCCCTCTTCTGTGACCTAACCCTGGACCAGGGCATAAATTTGTGATTAAGATGTTATTTGATGTATTTGTATGTAAAATATTCAAACTTTGTCTGTAACTTTTATGTGTTTTTAAAAATATCTTGAATCCCTATATGCATTTTGTTTTCAAAGTGTTTCTTTTAGTGATTTAGGATTATTTTGGGGCTTCTTTCTGAAAAGATTACCTGCCAAAAGATCAAATTTGAGTGTTCAGAAGAATTCTGTATTTTTTAAAAGGAAAACCAAACAGCAACCAGTTGAAAAATTAAATGAAGGAATTTAAGATTGATTATGTGACTATTATCTTAACAACCCATTTTAATCAAGAAATCATGAAAAGAGTCCTGAACATATAAAAGTCTATCCCAGCTGAGTCTTACTTTGTTTAAATGACTGGTATCACTTTACCTGTTTTGCAAAACACAGTTGATGCTGAGCTGTAATGGAGACATCTTCCTCTGGAGTGGAATTAAGCTGCAGCTTGTCTGGGGCTGTGGGTAAAACGTTTGGAGGTAGAATAAAACTGAAATATTTCTGTACAATTTCCAAGACATTAGGTGTCCCGCTTCACTTTCATACCTGGAGAATTTACAGAGCTGACTGTTTTAATAGGAGTTATATTAGCTTTATTATGTAGATAATTTGACTAAGATTCCAAATAAACAGTCTCTGGAAAGATGTAGTCCAATACAGGGCTTTGCTGCAAATGTGTGTAGTTTTCTCTTTCACTCTACTTTTGAAAATAACTTTTTAAACCATAAAAGAGAGTACTGAAAATTGTGTATCTAACAACTGAAAGGCACCAGTAATTTTAGCTGCTTGTGTATGAACATATGTCACGTTCAATACATTTCCTGAGGACAGTTTCTCTAAGCGAGTTTAAATTTAGAGATCCTCCTGACATGATCAAATTCATTCTTAGAAAAGCAGGCATTACATATTAACCTCTACCAGAATACTGATATTGCTGCATGAGAACTACATGATTGCAAAGCACATAATTCCTTGTTACGATTCAGTTCTCCAAAGACTAAGAACGTCTGGGATTGTTGCTGTCTTTCTCCAGATGTTGCTTGTCAACTTGAAAAGCTCTTTTGATCATGACTTTAGATTTGACTTTAGGCTTCTTGCAAACTTACAGTACCATTAGTATTGTTGAATAACATTAGTTAAAAAGCCATAAATATTTTTATGTCATTTTGGAATAAAAAGTACGTGCTCCAGTTGCTGCTAACTGGTGGAGTTCAGAAAAGTATGACCACTCTTATGCTCTTATTTTTAAGAATAAATATGTCTGATAGTTAAATTTTTTGTAACTAACTGGGGGAAGGTGGGGGGAAAAGAGACATATTGGCCCCTATTCCTTCCACTAAATAAAAACTGAACCCACAAGAGAATCCCTACTTAGCTGGGATTCAGTTACGTTTATTGTGCACCCAAAACTCTCATTGTTGCTCAGGTCTGGGAAGTTCTAATCTTCTGCTGTATTTGGGCTAGACCAAGGGACCTAATATTATCATGGCACTAGAACACTCACTTTTTATAAATTATTGTTGCTACTTTTTGTGTACAAATCGTTTGCCCAGTCACTGAGGTGAGCACTGAAAAAAACACACAAACTGACTGATAAACAGGTTTTTAATATGGAATTAGATCTTACGTTCTTTCAAATGTAATGTATGGATCTCTTTTTCTTTGGCAAGAATTAAAGAAAAAAAACATTTCTGGTAAACTATTAAGATAAAATTTGTGGGCATGTGGGAAACTGACAGGAATGTTTTGTTATCAAGCTGCAGAACAGAAGGGGTAATTACTTTCTCTTCCTGTCCTGCTATGCAGGATGATGCCAATAAAGATTTTATCAAGAGCAATATGGCAAATAAGTGTGTTTTGAGAAACCACCACTAGGAAGGGGAGGCCTCCCAAGGGCAGCACTGCCAGTGTTGAGATGGTGGCACTCAGGCTCCTCACTCCTGGCTGCCAGGGCTCTGCCCCCAGCCCAGTGCATGGATCAGGCTTTGCCTCAGCCTCCCCAGAACAGTGTCTGCTGGTGCCTGGGGTGTGCCCGAAACCCGGCTGGGACTGTGCCCCTGGGTCACATCGTCGGCTCCAGTGGGATGGTCCTCCTCACCACGCCAGGCTTTGAGCTGATTCTTGCTTGTTTCAGTGCCTCAGATGAGGCTGAATGTGGGAAAATTGGTATTTCAGCCGGGAAAAAATATGAAAATCCTGTTCCTGCTTTAGAGAGGCATAGAAGAAAGAAGGGGTTGGTTGTTAGTTTCTGTCAGTGCATATTCTTCTTCTTTTCCTACTTTAATAAGTAACTTTTTAGAGAGGAGGGGAGGTCTGGTAACAGCAATAATCATTGCAGATATTAACCCATATTGAAATTATGACAATTTCATTGTATTTCAGGGTCTTGGAATTTCCTTTGGGTTTGGTGCTGTGTTTTAAAGAGTTTACTTTCCAAAATTATAATAAAATATTTTTCATGATTTGAGTAAATCTACGTGTCTTAATGGTCATTCTTTTTACAATGTTATATATACAAGTACAAAAATGCATTTATTGAACTTTTTAATTTTCTCCTCTCCTTCATTGCCCATTATTTGTTTTGAGAAAATGTGGTGAGTTGATTTCAGGCAAACTGTCCCTGAAATAATACTCAATTTCTTCCAGTTTTTAGCTTTTCCTTTTTTTTCTTTTAATATTCTTTTAAATTTATTTTTTTAAAGAGAACTGGAAGTCTTCCTCCAGGGT